TCAAGGTTTAGGATTTAGAGGTTAAGGTTTAGGGTCTATGGCTTGTGGTTTAGTGAATAATGTCTCTCTGGAGCCTCAACTGACCACGTGCAGATGAGCAGAGACCTTTTTTGAGCTGCATCATAAAAGGGACTAAATCGAAAACCCATAAACCCGAACCTTTAAGTATAAACCCTAAACCTATACCCTAAACCCGAAACTCTAAAATCTAAACCCTATCCCCTAAACCATAAACCTTAAACCTTAAACCCTAAACCATAAACCTTGAAGGTTTAAACCTAAACCGTGCATTTGTTTCTGCAATGTACAGACTATCCGAAGCGCGAGCCATCATGACTTATCTTGATAAAAGCGACACGCATAGGCAGAGATGATGGACTCGCAGGTACTCGCAGCACGCCTGTGTTTCAAGCACAGCCATGAGCAAGGAAGCGAGAAGATGCGTCGGATTACAGTCACGAGCCTAGGGGTGAAAGTTAAAAGTTAGGACTTCGCGAGTTTAAGGTTTACTTTTAAAGGTTTCAAGGTTAAGGGTCAAAAAATAAGATTAGGTTTAAAGGGTTGAAGTTCAGGTTTCAAGGTTTAACGTTTCAGGTTTAGGGAGTAGAAAGCTGAGCTATACTTGAACAGATCGAGACATGTAGTGGACGCGTTCATTTAAGAGCATATATATTCCTATATTTATCGCGTTTGGCTTTGTTTATTTAAGAGGGCTTATAAAAACTAAGCCAAAAGAACCCTAAAGGTCTCAGGCTCATACATATATATATACATATAAATATATATATATATATATATACATATATATATATTTGGGATAAGAAGATGCATGTACACGCGTTCCACGGTAGAGAACCTCCGCAAGCTCGACTTGCAGGCGACTTCGGCCGGCTATGGTGGGGAGATGTCTCTACTCTGCATAGCTGGATATGCTGTACATGGTTACGGAATGGTAAACTCTGGCGTGCGCATGCTGGATGCACCCGGTGTCCCGTTCACGAACTCTACCGGGATGACTTCTCCAATTTCCTCAGCTGGAACAAGCAACTTCACTCTGGGGAGATGGGGTTTAGGGTTTAGGCCTAGCATGTCTTACATCAACCCAGAACTCGTTTTGGGAGTGTTCCCATTCCAAGCAGGGGCATGGTATGGTATGGAAGCAACGCTCAAATTTTAAATAACAAATCAGGCCGTGTTCGCCAGGTCTCTTCCACTCCGGCACAGAGTGTGAGCGCAAGAGACAACGCCAAAGCAGTTCTGACGATCATGGCTGGTGAAGCACCGTCTAGGGACACTCAAGCCACGCGCAAATGTAGACACTCCCGGCGTGTGTGTTTAAAGCTTGCTGGAGTCTAGAAGCCCCGCTCAAAGTGGTAAAGGGGCGGCTTCATGTGACTTGGGCTACAAGGCAACTGCCAGCACGAATCTGGCTGCCAGAGTCAAGTTTGGGCTCGTTTTTGAACAAGCTGGGGTGCGATGGTGGTTGTTTCACTCCTGCAGTTTACTCCAGCCACGGACCTGTGCTGATTCTGTGGGAGCCTAGACACTACAGCATGCAAGGGTTGAGGGTTTAGGGCTGCGAGACCCTAAACCCTAAACCCTAACCCTAAACCCTAAACCCTAAACCCTAAACCCTAAACCCTAAACCCCCCCCTTTCATGGCGAGGCCTGCTGCCAGCCGCCGCTCGCTTTTCAACACCGCGGCTGAGACGACGAGTCTAAGAATGGAAGCGCAACTGCAGGTACCAGAGGCTCGTTCACCTTGAAAACGAAATGAACCCTAAAATTGGGGGTCATATACCCTATTCTACTATATTTCCTAGTAAGGTATATGAACCATAAACCCTTTTAGGGCTCATTTCGTCCCCAAGGCAGGAAGTCAAAGAAACCGCACTAGTCACCAATCACCAACCCTACAAATAAATATAAATAAAAGTATAAGTATAAGTACATACAAATATCACTACAAAGAAGTATAAAGAAAAAAGATACAGAGAAAAACAAAAATGTAAATACATAAATATGAATGAATTACACAAGAAAAAGCATAAGTTGGTATGGAACAGAATAGAACAGAATACTCGCCTAGGCTAACTCAAGACGACTCAGGCAAACCGAAGCCCTGCAAACTGTCAACCAAACTCTCCATCCTTGCCGTGAGATTGGGTTTTATGGGCTTTGGGCTGAGGGTTTTTGGGTTTAGGGAGCGGTTTCGGCACGATGCGCAGCTTACGACTTCTTGCGGATAGTCTGCAATTTCTGTACCCGGAAATTGTCTTGAGCAGGAGACGACTCTCTTGGGTTTGGAGTTTAGGGTTTAGGGTGTGAGCCTCGAAAGGAAAATACTACCTAGCGGCTCAGGGCATCGAATCAACGTTGAGCAATGAGAACCGATCATCAACCCGGGACGATGCGTCTTGAGCTTTGGCATCCTAAACTGAAGCTTAAAGGGTCCAACTACAGGTCTGTTTGTACAAGAACTAGTGTGGAGTTCAGGGGTATCTCATGGATTCTTTTGGTTTATAGAGCAATGACAAAATACCGTGCTTTTGCAGAATCTTGCCGGTTCGCAATGCCTTGCTGGACAAGTCCTCTGAGCGTCTGCAGGACCTTCCATGTGGGAGCTGCTTGGTCCGGCGAACTTGCAGCAACGCGGAGGTCGCGTGCACGGAATCTACAAGTTGTTGCAAAACAGCGTCTGCAACTCCTGCCAGGATCGGCGGTGAGGCTTTGTTCGCCCCATGAGAAACTCTCTCTCTCTCTCTCTCTATATATATATATACATTATACATATATATATACAGGTATGCATATATATATATATATATATATATTGCTGTTTTTTTTCGAGCTTTGTTTACGGGAGTAGAGGGTACACTCGCCCATCCTGGTGCATGTTGATGCGCCTGCTGGCGCTCGCGCCAGAGGCGCGCATGCCTCCTAACACTACAACGTAGGTGGTTGTACGTTGGACCCTTAATATTAAGGTTGTAGGGAAACCCTTATAAAGATCCTTGCAGTAGTATGAGGGCTATATTAGGAGGATATTACGGGGAACCTTTAGGGGGACAACCTTCCTTGGGGACGAAATGAGCCCTAAAACGGTTTGTGGTTCATATACCTTACTAGGAAATATAGTAGAATAGGGTATATGACCCCCAATTTTAGGGTTCATTTCGTCTTCAAGGTTAGGGGTCCCTTGGTGAAATGGTTGCAACTCTGCAGCAGCCAGGGCTTGCTGTCCAGTCCCAGCGTTGTGCGGGACAGCTCTCCGCAAGACCGGGATAGCCATTAGAGCTGCGCTTTTGCACTGTTATGTGTAAGATATATGTATATATACACATATATATAACATATATATATATATGTGTATGTGTATATATATATATGTATAGTTGCTATTTCTGTTTTTTAGCCAAACATTACCAGTTCTCACGTCAGACTGGAATATGCTTTTCGAGTTCCGGGGATTGCAAGGCAAGGGAAGTTTGATCCATGGCAACGTACGCGACCCAAGCATCGGATCTTGAATGTAGAACATCAGAGCATACACCATCAGAGCGATGTGATGAGGATGCGTTAAGATGCCAGGGGGCTGCAACTGAAAATGCCAAAACACCAGCGCCTCCGAAGCGGCCAAGTTAATATCATGCTTGCCACGGAAGCAGTGATCTTCGTGGACTTTCGTTGCTATCTGTGTCAAGTCTTGCTTCACTGGCTGTCCCAAACAGGCTTCAGGACTTCAGGACTCTGAGCAGATCCTGAACGGGCACCGCCCCGGACACCCTAAACCCTAAACCCAAAAGACACCTGACATAGGGCTGGTGACAGCGACTCTTGCTAAGTTTTGCATGTGTTTAAAAGCCAGCTTCCCGAAGAGGCAAAGACACAAGGACGCCCCCCCCCCCCCCCCCAACGCGCCTAGGCCAGCTGCTGTCGCATGACGGAGAAGAAGGCTCGGCTGTCCTGAATGCCAAAGATCGGTGCTCGAAGACTGGCATTCTGCAAAGATGGCCGTCCATGATACGGTTGATACTATAAATCCTGCAGGACTCTACCATACTAAACTACCATAATTCCTAGGGGTTAGGGTACTTCGGGTCATGCAGGATTTATATTATCAACCGTAGGAGCCGTGGATCCCTTCTTGTCATGTCAAATACAGCAGCACCAGTTGCTTTTTGCAATCATGCCAGATGCCTTTCGTGCCTGGTCCCGTAGAAGCCCCAAACCCTAAACCCCTAAACCCTAAACCCTATACCCTAAACCCTAAACCCTAAACCCCTAAACCCCTAAACCCTAAACCCTAAACCCTAAACCGAAACCCGCCAAGATGCTTGTGCCCCAGAGAAGACCACGGGCTCACTGGTGCCCGGGCCATCAGCCTGGATGCCTTTGCAGGACTCGGGTTCAGGGTTTAGGGTTTAGGGGATTCAAAGGGTATCTAGATGTTTTAGGAGGGTTTGGGGTATCATTGCCTATTTAACTCTTAACTCCAACGGTGCATTTTGGGTAGCTACCTTTATGTTCACACGAGGGATTGTGAGGGCTGGCTCCAGTATTGCACCATTCATCTCACTCTTCTTCCTGAATCGGTGCCGAAACAGGTACAGAATGCATATACTTATTCGCAAGGCGGCAGATATATGCCTAGGCATGGCAAACGGATCTGACAGCGGCATGGGCCAAGTCAGAGTCACAGTTTAGGTATGTTCAGGATATCAGCTGTATAGGCTGTATGGCTTCCAAGGAAACAAGCATCGAAAGCGTTGAGGAGTGCCAGGGGCATGCTCTATACGCCTTGAATGTTCGCAGGGAGGTGCTTGCGCTTCAGGGCAGGGATGGTGCTCTCTGAGGGGATTTCATGTTCTTTGACTCGGGCTTCTCGACTCAGGGCCGGAATCAGAAACACTTCTTCTGTGCTCTCTACCACCACCTTCCTGAAAATACACGCGAAAAATCTCCCCCCCCCCCCCCTTGTGCATCTGCAAGCAGGGCACAGTACTGGGGCACGCTGTGAACACCTTCGGAGCGTGCCTGGCGCAACGCCTCCTGGAAACACGGCATCGATTTTTCGAGGTGAAGGGGGAAAGACTTCCGAGTCACGGGGTTTAGGGTTTAGGGTTTAGGGTTTCAGGGGCTTAGTCCTAAGCTGCTGCAGGGCTTTAGCCTATTGCACTCTTCTGAAGGAAGTCCAAAAACTCACCGACCCACCCGCTCCCCCGCCCCAGCCAACCCTAGGCTCCCGCAGCTCGGGTAGTCCACCCCCACTGTTCCTCGGAAGGCTTGTGGGGTTTTGGGTGTAGGGATTCGGGGTTGGGCTTGGGTTCTGCGGTCTTGGGAATTTGGGGCTTGCAGACAGAATTGGATCGCGCCAGGATGCTACAACACACGCACACACACACACACAAAGCGATGGAGAAGCATTCCTGAAGAACCTAACACCTACATTTTTTTGTAGGTTTCCTAAGTAGTAATAGCCTACAAAAAAAGCAGGCTTTGGGTTCTTCAGGTGTTGCTTGAGATCACCCGAGGCTCAACCACGTGACCGCCTCCTTTGCGGAGCCGTAGCCGAGCTCTTCGATGGCCTGCAGAAGAACCCTAAACTACTCTGACCCGAAACTCTGACCCCAAACTCTGATCCGAAACTCTGACCCCAAACCCTTGTACTTGTGAGGGGTCTTCCATGATTAGAATAGGGTTTGGGGGTTAGTATACTAATAGTACTTATCCCGACCCCATATTATGTTTATATGGTATATGCACCACAAGCAAAAAAGTGAGTGAGTGAGTGAGTGAGTGGACGGCCTGGGGTGCACCCCGGCCAACGGAAACGTTCCCTCCCGCAATCTCTTCCCCCTTCCGCTTGCGTCATTGGGGAGATCCGGCAGGGGTTCGATGCTCCGAGCTGGGAAAAACGCCACCCGAACCTCCATGGGCCCGCCCCCCCCCCCAAGCCGGGCGACAAGCAAAACAAATTCTGGAGAAGTACGCCTAAACCTGAACACGAAATCCTTAAGCCAACCCATTGCAAGCAGCTTCTCTTATGGGGTACGCGGAGCTCAGAAGCATCTTGAAACCCGGAAAGTGGGATTCTTCAGCGTCTTTGCTGCAGGATGTGGCACTTGACTTGACCATTTTCAATGGAAATCAAAGCGGCGCCATTGCTGGGTACCGGTCAACATCCACTAAGCATGCCAAGCGCCTCCTATGACCTTGGTTTAGGGTTTAGGGATTAGGGTTTTAGGGTTTAGGGTTTAGGGTTTACTCACGATGTCGCCGTGCATGGCGCTACACCGAAAGCCACCCTCAACACGGCCGTTTTCTCTCTAATTACCAAGCACTTCAGAACCCTCCTTCCAAACCCTAAGGGTCCATGTACCCCTAAAGTATATAGATTTCGGCCCTAAAGCTACTATATGGGAACCCTTTTAAGGCCCAAGTATATACTACATAGGTACATGGATCCTTACGGATCTCGAGAGGCCTTCTCAAAGAACCCCCACCCTAAGCACCCATTTTGTTCCTCTGCCAAGCATGATAAACCCTCGACCCCTTGAGACCTCCAGAACCCTTTCAAGGATCGCATCTACATCTTCGACTGGGAGGCGATGCCTGGGCGGCCCCCTCCGGAACCGAGATGTTGCAATCACGGTCGTAGGTAAGCTCATAGAACTTGCCTGGGGCTGAACATGACTTCGGAGTGCTTCGAGGCCTAAGTCGGTTTTACTGCCGCTCTGGATGGTGGTCTTCGTGCTTGGGGATTTCTGGTGGTGAGGTCGATTGAAACAAGTGCTAGGTGCGTCGTGCTTGCAGGCTAAACGGCAAAACAGGACTGCAGCAAGAAGACATGCAGCCACTGCCACTCCACTCACGTGATTGCAGCTCACGCACTGAAACATAAAAAAGGCCCAGAATTGCGGGTGAACCCCAGACCCTAAACCCTATAAGCCCTAAGCCGAAAACCCTAAACCCCAAACCCCCAAACCCTGAACCCGATGAAGATCGCACGCCCAAAAGAATGGGATGGGCTCTGGAAGACGAGCCGCGCATCAACGCATGGCTCCTCTCAACCTGAGCGTGGCGAGGAAGGGGGCGTCACCATTCTCATTGTCTCCGGGAGCCCTCCCCAAAAATGAATGAAAAGCAGTTGTTTTTTTTGCCCTCTTGTACCAATAACACTTTTTAACAGAAAAAAATGCTCTCTCTCTCTCTCTCTGTCTCTCGCTTTCGCTCTCTCGCCCTCTCTTTCTCTCTCTCTCTCTCTCTCTCTCTCTCTCACAGCCGTAAACCGTAAACCCTAAACCCCCTAAACCCTAAACCCTAGAACCCGGGCTCAGTAGATCTTCATCCCGTTTAAGAACTCGGGTGGCCGACGTGTGCAGGGTTTGGGGGACGGCAGGCCCATAGCTTGGAATAACCAGAATCACACCGAGGGTTTAGGGTTTAGGGCTAGGGTTTAGGGTTTAGGGTTTAGGATTTAGGGTTTCGGGTTTCGGGTTTAGGGTTTAGGGTTTAGGGCTACTGGGGAGGGAGGGGGGGGGGGGGGGGGGGTGCACCTTCTCCTTCTCGCTGAGCTCCGGCATCTTTGCATGGAGCTCATCGAGATATGTGCATAGGCGATGGGCATTCCTCGGATGGCTTCCATCATCGGTCTTGTTTCGGGTTTAGGGTTTTTAGGGTGTTTAGGGTGTTCAGGGTGTTCAGGGTGTTTAGGGTGTTTAGGGTGTTTAGGGTGCCTAGCGTTTTTTGGATGTTTAGGGTGCTTAGGTTGTTTAGGGTGTTTAGGCTGTTTAGGGCGTTTAGGGTTTAGGGTTGTTTCTTCGGGTAGATACATGAGCCCTTAGTATGGGCCCTTGCCAGGAAACACCTTATAGACCCCACGCAAACTGAGGGCCCATGCATCAGAACCCGTTAAAGGAGGCCAGGGACCATATTAAATTCAGGGCCCTAAACCCTAAACCCTAAACCGTAAACCCTAAACCCTAAACCCTAAACCCTACACCCTACACCCTACACCCTACACCCTAGCCCAAGCAACTACTCTTAGAATAGATCCACCTTGGAGCCCTAAGGTTGCATAGGGTTTAGGGTTTAGGGTTTAGGGTTTAGGGTTGAGGGTTGAGGGTTGAGGGTTTAGGGTTTAGGGATCACTTAAAGGGACTCTAGGGGCCATAAGAGGAATATGTTCAGGGAAGCTCTGAGGGGTACGTCCTTAGGGGGTACGACTCTGAATCCCTTGATTCCAAGCAGCAGGGATCTATTTGCCTGTGTGCTTCAGTATTACAGTCAAGGAAACCCAAACCCTCTATATCCATCTTTAGGGTTTAGGGTTTAGGGTTTAGCGTTTAGGGTGGCTCACCGATGTGTTCCTCAGCCGACTGAATCTGACCTGGCGTCTCCGTGTTGGGCCACCACTTCCATTGCCTGGCTCTACGCTTTTTTGCCCTCTCGGGGGTCCTGTTTTTTTTAAGGTGATTACTAGGTGGGGTTTAGGGCTTTGGGGTTAAGGGTTTACTGAGTTACCTGGCTGGTACCCCTACAGATGGCTTACGTAAGGCTGACATGGTGATGTCCCCGATCTGGGAAAACTCCCGTTCTAGAACCAGTATGTTGCAGAGTTCCAGTGTAAATCGGTACAGCCAGGCCAAGTGCCTCCTACACTCCAACACCAAACCCTATACATTCAACATATCTCTATATGTACATATATATATATATGTACATATATATATATATACACATACATACATACATACATACATACATACATACATACATACATACATACATACATACATACATACCCTTCTTCTCAACCCCATAAACCCTCTATTCTGCAGGTAAACTCCCCAGCGTGTGCCTCAAATCTGGAGGCTTCCAGCCACCGCCCCACCCACGACGCCTGGGGTTGCTCTCAGTGTCTGCAGTCATCGTAAAGTATAGAAACCCCGCCAGAATTAAAAATTGCGACAACACCGTATCTCCCGTAGCTTGAAGAATCTAAAAACACAAGATGGATACACACTTATCCCATAGTTCACCAGCCCCCCCCCCCCCCCCGGGTATCACGCAAAGCCTATGGCTATCAAACCAAGGCTGACAGTTTGGGTTCAAGGGTGCGGCTGCAAGGGAATTGAACTCCGGGCTCTGCAACGCCGGAGTCGTGTGGCAACATTTTGCCAGGCTTGCCTGCAATAGTCTGCCTTGTCCTCACCAGATTGCTTGGTGGAGGGGTCAATCATGAAGGGATAATACCTGTCAGGGCACTCAGCAGAACTATCCAGCCATCGGGCTAACTTATAGTGAAGACTGGGGCCTAGGGATACTACTGCCAACCCTCAATTCCAGACTCCAACTATTTCACCGGAAGAGCGACTCCAACCTACTATTTGCTTCAGAGCCCCCCGCAAAAAAAAATATATATTAAGCTTATTAATAACGAAGAATCTTTTTATTGTTTGGGGTTCTTAAGCAATTAGTAGCAACCGTTTGAGCGAAGGAGTGGCCTCACGGCCACTTCCACACCTTGCTGCTGCATCTGCTGCACCGCAGCTTCCAGTCGAGTATCTCCAACATAGCACCTGGGCAGCCATGCGCGGCTTTTGGGGGGAGGGTTCAAAAAAACAGGTCTTTTGATGGTAAGCACGATGTAAGCGATTTTTGTTGATGGCCTTCACCCAGTGGGCACCCCCACTTCGCTTCGCTGCGCAACTGTGTTCAGAAGCAGATTTTCGCGTGCGCTTGTAACCCTGAAGCCACCTGTTTCTATCCGACAAACCTGCTCCCTACTTATCTAGCCTTATCCCTAGACCCTGACAATTATGATGCTGCCACAGCACCAGGGTCAGGCAATATCGCTCACGATGTCCACACGGATCTTCTTTGCCATGGCGGGTGATGGCAAACGCACCAGACCCCAGAAACCAAAAACCCAAAAACACAAAGAAACAGAAACAACTCAGCACTATAATCCCTAAACAGCATCATTCAGGTCCCTCTGTTTTTAGGGGATGCTTGATCACATAGGGCGAACCGTGAAGCTATATGCCCACAACTGCAAGGCCCAATTGAGCCTGCCGGCACTGTCCTCTTTATGGATGTAATTTAGGGTTTAATTAGGGTTAAGGGTTGAGGTGGCGAAGCAACCCTGGTGCTCACGCATAGCCACCTCCCTAAACCCCTGAGCACTATAAACCCTAGTAGGCTTGGTTTGCGGTGTTTTTACTGATTATTGCAAGTGCGATGACTACTACTATATCTATCCTGTACCACACATCAGATGTTTGTCATGACTATGTTCATTTCATGCAAGCACCGAAGAGCTATTGCGGTATGTAAGCATGACTGTATCGTATGCTCCTAGTACCATGAGTTACTACATTCTCAAAAACCCTAAACCCGAAAGCCTGTAGGGTTTAGGATTCACGGGTTCTTCTGGTTGAAGGTCCTTCAGAGACTTCGAGCGCGGCGTCGGAACCCTAAACCCTAAACCCTAAACCCTAAACCCTAAACCCCACGCGTTTCCCTTGAGACCCAGAGCCCACCTCTCCTGGGACTTCAAGGCCTGGATGGCCTGCTTCATCTGCTCCAGGAGCTGCTTGAGGTTCTGTAGCTCCTTTTGAGGGGTTTAGGGTTTAGGGCTAGGGTTTAGGGTTTAGGGTTTAGGGTTTAGGGCTTAGGGCTTAGGGCTTAGGGCTTAGAGTTTAGGGTTTAGGGTTTAGGGTTTAGGGTTTAGGGTTAGGGTTCAGGGTTCAGGGTTCAGGGTTTAGGGTTTAGGGTTTAGGGTTTTGGGTTTAGGAAGAAGACTTTGAAGACCCTATAAGAAACTGTATACGCCGTTCAGGATGTGGACATCTTGGCTGAAGAGGCTTGGAAATGGCGAGCAAGGTTAAGGCATCGGGGCGAAGATGTTGTACGGTTTAGGGTTTAGGGTTTTAGGGTTCTAGGGGTTTAGGGTTTTAGGGTTTTAGGATTTTAAGGTTTTAAAGGTTTTAGGGTTTTAGGGTTTAGGGTTCTAGGTTTTTAGGGTTTAGGGTTTTGGGGTTCAGGGTTTAGGGTTACGCTCAGGTCGCGGCGCAAAGAATAATTTGAGTTGGCCAGACGAAGACAGACAGGATTTCATGAAAGCTGCAGACATCTCATCTTTGTTAGAGTTTATAGCTAAGAGCATAAAACACAGAGGAACCGGAACAAGTCACACCTGACAATGCCTTGTTCTTGCCATGATCCATTGACAACTCAACATGCCCGCCGTCCTCAACCCTGCACCCACAATATAGGGGCCTTAATGGTTGGAATAGGGCTTTTTGGGAGCGTTGTTTGAATATAATCATACTACTCGTATTCCCTTATGGTCCCAATATTCTAGGGACCATAAAGGAAGACACCGAATACACCTAAACCCTAAACCCTATAAACCCTTTGTACGATTTATTCGAATTCTGACCCCTCTATTAAATAGACGAAGCCCCGCCTCCATCTTCTTCGTCTTGGCGTCGCGGATAGAGTCCAAGTCCCTTCGGAGCAAGGAGAGGTCCTTGCCTTTCTCCTGGCGTTTAAGGAAGTTCAGGGGTTTGGGGTTTGGGGTTTAGGGTTTTACCTTGGACCCTTAAGGTTGAACCCTGGGGGTCCTCCTGGCACTCACCATGCGAACCCCGAAACGCACACTTTCCCAAACACTTGGAGGCCCCAAAATTTGTTTCCCTGCAAATTTTACCCCCGAAAAGCCGAAAAAAAACACTAAACCCCTCTCTGTCCGTCCCCCCCCCCCAAAAAAAAACACCCCAGGCTGGATTCCGTGAGCAAGCTTTTGAAACCTACTCTGGTCCTACAAAAACCCTAGGACCCTAGGACTCCCCACCTTGACGTCTTCCAGCACCTTGGCCAGCTCTGTGTCCGCCTCCTGCAGAGCAACCTCGCCCAGGGCAATTGTTTAGCGACGTACACCCTTTGAACGCCTCAAACGCCCGAAGCCTTGAAAAACCTGGTAAGCCCAAAGCCCCTTAAAAGCCCATAAGCCTACAAGCCCTAGACCCTAAACCGGAAAAAACAAGCCCAAAGCCCCCTTAAAAGCCCATAAGCCTACAAGCCCTAGACCCTAAACCGGAAAAAAGGGTCTTAAAACCCCCATAAGCCCCAAAGCCGACTAAAGTGTGCTCTTAAGCCCCCAAAACGAGGAATCCCTATACCAACCCCCACCATACTATAGCTTGCCCAGAGAGGACCAAACAACCCATTGTTGGGTTTAGGGTTTAGGGTTTAGGGTTTAGGGTTTAGGGTTTAGGGTTTAGGGTTTAGGGTTTAGGGTTTAGGGTTTGGCGTTTATTATAGGGTTTAGGGTTTAGGGTTAAGCCTTCCTTGGGCCTTCGTCCAGGTTGGAGTGGTGAGGTCGAACTGAGGCTCTGGGCTGAGGGCTCATTAGAGGTTTGGGGGTTTAGGGGTTTTGGGGTTTAGGGTTGGAGGTTTAGGGCTTTTTAGGGGGCATTTAGGACCCCAAACCCGGCGTTCTAGCGACTCTGGCTCACAGTCGGACAAGCGCATGGGAAACATGTTCTCAGGCGACGGATCTGGGCTCAGCTTTTGTAGATTTTGACTGCCTTGGGGACCCCAAAAGGGCCCCAAAAGGGTTTCTGGTTCGTTTGCCTTAATGGGAATTAGAGTCGCATAGGGTAAATGACCCCAACTCAGAGTTCATTTGGTCTTCGGACTGGGCTCAGGTTTTCAGGATCAGGATGTCAGGCTCGCGCAAGCTCAGGCTTGTCAGGGTCTTCTTGCTACCGGGTGGAGCCGCCGGACTGGCGTCGGGGTAAGTCAGTCAAAGACGCGCCGGTAGATGACGACGTACTCTGGGTAGACCTGCGCCTCATCGTAGACCACAAACTCGCGGTATGTGCCTGCAGCATGCTCCCGGTCGCCCAAGGTGCCATCGTAGCCGCCGGCCCTGGATTTCTGCACTGCATCGGGGTCTGCCGTTTCGACCCGGAAAAGCTTGCCGCAAACCACGCGGCAAAGGAGCATCGCACATTTCCCTGCAAAAAGCCCGCTGGGGTCTTCAGAGGCATACTCATCACCCTTGCTGCTGGCCTCGGCAAAATAGGCTCCGGGGCCAAACATTGTGCCTGTACCTTACTGTTGGAGGGAATTTGGGCCCTATATGTACCCTTTAAGGGAATATATATATATATATATATATATATATCCCTAAACCCTAAACCCTAAACCCTAAACCCTAAATCCTAAACCCTAAACCCCCCATTCCCTCCTACTAACCAACAGTATAAGGTGCGTGAGCCGGCCAGGTCCAGCTTGAAGCCGGCAGAGCCGATGCCCAGGACGCCGGCCGGGCTGGAGCCGTGGAACAAGTACCTAGGGTTTGGGGTTTAGGGTTTAGGGTTTAGGGTTTGGGGTTTAGGGTTTAGGGTTTAGGGTTTAGGGTTTTGGGAGCCTCTTCAGACCTCAAGACGCTCTGAACAAATATTCCTAAATACGATCCTCTTAAAACCCAATACAAGAAATGAAAACGTAGGATGGCCCTTAGAGGCCCTCTGAACAGATTCCTGAATCAGTACTACATTATCCTCTTAAACCCTATAATTAAGAAACAACAAATTCCCCTAAGGGCCTGCCTAGGTACAGTTCGTTGACGCTGCTGTCCAGCCTCGCGTTCAGGTGGCCTAGGCTTCGGGTGGTCTTGCAGCGGCCACTTCCGGCCAGGTCCTCAACATGCGTGATGTCAGCTGCTCGAAGAGCAGCCCTGCTCCGTCGGTCGACATATCTCTGCCAAAGGCTGCCTGGGGCTCTCTTTACCGACCGTTTTATATGGGTATATACCTACGAATTCATAAGGGGTAGATTATCCCTAAACTGTAGGAAATATAGGTTATACCTGCTAGGTAATAAGGGGTAGCTATCCCTAAACTGTAGGTGATATAGAGTCCCAGGTGCTGTCTTCAATCCGCTGAACCATCTCCGCCACCAGGCGCGTGGGCAGACTCCCAGCACGGTCCCGGGTGGCCCTTGCCGTGAAGCAGTCGTCCAAGAGCTGCTGCACTCCTTGGCTGCACTTAGGAGGGTAGTTAGTAATTTAGATTCTTAGCTGCCTTGTTATAAGAAGCCCAATAAAACCAAAAAAAGGCTAAGGATCTAAAGTTACCGTAAAAGCACCACAAAGAATCGGGCCCGCATGTCATCCGAGGCGTCCTCGAGAAGCTCGGCGCAGCGAAATGCCACACTGAGGTCGCGGTGGGTCCAGTATGTAGGGGCCTCGATACCTATACTGAACTCGGAACCTAGCAAAAGTGTATATTTTTTGAAAAATTTAGCTGTTTCTTAGAAATTAAAGTGCCCAAAATTAAGAGTGATTTCCAAGTATCCCTAAGATACCAGGTGCGCCGGCAATGGCCTCGATGTCCAGAATGTCGTCTGGGGCTGCAGGCAGCTGCCAAAAGCCACCTTCCTCGGAAAACTCGATGCGCACGTTCGGATCCATGCGCCCCACCTTGAAGACGAAATGAACCCTAAAATTGGGGGTCATATACCCTATTCTACTATATTTCCTAGTAAGGTATATGGATCATAAACCCTTTTAGGGCTCATTTCGTCCCCAAGGCACGCGTGCCACGGCTGGGTCGCGAGAGCGCGTCAAGGAGTGGAGCGGAGTTGTAGTTGCAGCCGCGGCGGTGGGAGATATGGAAAAGTGCTTCCGCACATGCCACACCACCTTCTGCGCACGGCGATACAAGAAGTAGCGGAAGGGCAAGCCCATCAGCAGCAGGGTCGAGAGCGCCAGCCAAGAACGGCGCATCCACCAAGGCCTCTCCGTCACAGCTTGCCCCGCTGAGCTCAGCACCACCATGGCGCGATCGATGTGGATGCAGTCCAGCGACTGCTTCTCAGACTTGTCTTGAAACTGGTCTGTCGTGTTCGAGCGGTAGAAATCTTCCTTGAATCTGGCCAGTGCCGCGGTAGTCTCTGCGTCACGCGGCATGAAAGTGAGGGGGAAGTGGCAGGCCAGAAGCAAGCGCTGCTCCCCAGTTCCTTCCACCCGAATCACAGTCTCATGGAGTAAGCTGCTGCCTTCGCTGGCCGCACTGCGGTGCAGCAAATGGAACATTGCCACTGTCTGGGCTGGAGATAAGGTCTCATCAGTGACGCTGGCAATGGGGAACCTGGCCGATGCCGCGTGCGTATTCTGGCGCTTTGACTTGGTTGTCCACTTCTTCTTGGATGCGTCGTAGGTCGACACGTTCTCGTAGTGATAGTTCTGAATGCTGAAGGTGACGATTGGATGAGCTTTTTGGAGCGTCTCTATGTAGTCGACGAAGTCCTTTTCGCTGTGCACGTTGGACAAGTATCTGCACGCCTTGCTTTGGCACCACTCGACAAGGTACAGGATGTAGCAGATGAGGCCAAAATTGAAATATGACGCGCTCATATCCAAAAACACATGAAGCAACATCGCCGCCATGCCGCCGACACCCACCAGCCATGCAAAGACTTCGATGCAGCCGACGGTGTCGTGGGCACTCTCGATGGGCAAAGGCTCAAGGCCATCCGACCCGCTGTGCACAGAGTTCGAATCGGACATGGCGAACTCCAGATGGTCGGGGATTGGTCGGCGCACTTAGGTCATGGAGACATGCACGTCGGATGCACAACTGTCAGCCCTAATCTGCATCAACCCTAAACCCTGGCAACAACTCTTTAAAGCCCAGGGCAGTATAAGTTTTACCTTCGGACGCTTGGAGGAATGACGAAGATCCAGGCCCCAGATTTGTGAAAGAGACACAGGCTTACAGCATAGGCAAACAGCCTCTATCGGATCATACTATAGAACCCCTAAACCCTGAACCCCAAACCTAAACCAAAAACATCATGATTTGCCATGCCTGTGCTGAAACTGAATCTGTTATAGGGTTCTTTGGGGTTTATAGGGTTTAGGCTACCCTAAACCCTAAACCCTAAACCCTAAACCCTACAAGGGAACTACGTAACCCAAAGTTCCCCAAGTTCCCGAGGTGCCTCCCCCGTCCCTTAACCCTAAAAATCTGACTCTCTCGAAAAAAAACCCTACAAGCAACAACTAGGTTTAGGGTTTAGGGTTTAGGGTTTAGGGTTTAGGGTTTCGGGTTTAGGGTTTCGGGTTTCGGGTTACCCTAAAACCCAAGCCCTGCAAGCCCCAAAAGAGCTGGGGAGGGGGTTGACGTCGACTCAATGCTTGAAGGCGGGTGAACATCTGACTTGGTTTAGGGTTTAGGGTTTAGGGTTTAGGGTTTAGGGTTTAGGGTTTAGGGTTTAGGGTTTAGGGTTTAGGGTTTAGGGTTTAGGGTTTAGGGTTTAGGGTTTAGGGTTTTTTCGGGTTTAGGGTTTAGGGTCCCTTGGAACCTGGCACGTACTGTTTCGGGTTTACTTGGAGGTTCGTGGTACCTACAACCTAATTATAACTGAACTTATAACTCACTTATGAGCCCTTTAAGTGCCCCAATATGGCTATAATAAGGTTATTAAGTACCATGAACCTCCAAGGAGGGTTTAGGGCCTAGGACTCAAACTCAAGTTGTTGATCCCTTGTGGGATGTTCCCCCTTGTACTAACAGTCCTTTATGGGGATTAGAAAAGGGGCTCCTCTAACCCCCCAAGCTACAACCCCCCCCCCCCCCCCAACCCCAAGATCCCAATCCTCCAACCCCCCCCCCCCCCCGCCTTCAGACGCTCTCGTTCTTGTACGCCAACGCGATCTTGCTCCAAGAGGTCCGCCAACCTGTCTAGCGTTTGGTTTAACATTGCGGCTAGGATTTCGGATTTTGAAGCGTTTGTGGGCTATCTCTGTTGGCTTTGGGACCTTGCATGTTTTGCTCTGCTTGGCCATCTTCGGGCAGTTGGCACTTGTGTTTGGTGTGTTGGCATCCTGGCACAAGAGCCCCCGATTCCAAAACGCTAAACCCTAATTAAACTGGGGGGTCGATTATATAGGGATTAAGGGCAAGCTAAACCCTAAGCGCTAAACCTAAACCTAAACCCCAAACCCCAAACCCTAAACCCTAAACCTGTCAAGTCCGCATGGCCTGTATTCGGCGTTGTGGATGAGTGGCGTGACCCTGGCGGTCTCGCTCAGCAACGTCAAGTGGAGCCTTGGGTGGGCATGAGGTTTAGGGTTTAGGGCTTAAGGTTTAGGGTTTAGGGTTTAGGTTTAGGGCCCAGTAGGGCCCTTAGCCTGCGTGCTAAAGCCCTTGCTCCTTCTCCAAGAACCAAGGAGTAAAAACAAATAGGAAGGTCCAACTTCATTATGCCGATAAGGAAACCGAAAAGTTTAGAGTTCAGCTGTTGGATAAGTCTGCTAAGTAAGAGCCCGAAAAGTAAGGACACAGTAAGGAAAAAGAAGAATGAGTCAGAAGAACAGAAAAAAACTCGAAATTCCCTGGTTCGTAGTAGGGAATGATGCACCTTATCTCCCTCAATAGATACCCTTTCATTCTGTACGGGTACCTAACTCACGCATTCCCTGCTAAGAACCAGTAAGGAAGCTCTTCAACCGCCACCACTACGGCCCCTGCCTTCGGGCTAATGTCACTCTTCCTGCTACAAGCAGCCCGAAAGCACCTTCCCTACTTCTGAGGGCGGCGCGAGGACAAGCCTACACAAGGGAAGTTCAAAAAGCTATTGACCACCTGCAACCCTGAAACCCACTTTGCCCGAAACCCTAAAACCCCAACCGGCGACCCTGCATCGGGGCACGAAGCTTACAACCCTAAGCCCTACTAATCAAATCCTTAAACCCGAAACCCGAAGCCCTGACCCCTAACCCCAAAAGCCCCATAGCCCTGAACCCCCCCCCAAAAAAAACACCCGAAACCCTCATCCTCAACCCCTCAAGTCGTGAACCGCCCTGAAAGTCCTTAAACCCCGAAAATCCTGAAACGCCTCAAATCCTTAAACCCTTTCGAAAAGCCTAAAAACCCTGTAGGCTTTAGGGTTTGGGGTCTAGGGTTTATAGCCCTAAACCCTAAACCCTAAACCCTAAACCCTAAACCCCAAATCCTAAACCCTAAACCCTCAACCCTAAACCCTAAACCCCACACCCTAAACCCTTTTGAAAGGGCGGCCCCGGCTCCGACAAGAAGCAGGTGCTGCCGTGCATCCTCGAATGCTGCTTCGGCATCCTTGCGGATCTTTAGGGTTTAGGGTTTAGGGTTTAGGGTTTAGGGTTTAGGGTTTAGGGTTTAGGATTTGGGGTTTCGGGTTTCGGGTTCAGGGTTTAGGGTTCAGCGTTCAGGGTTTAGGGTTGAGGGGATCTTTTGCGAAAGGCTTTTCGGGTTTAGGGTGTAGGGGATCTTGTGCCAAAGGGCATTTACGGTTTGGGTTTTTTCCCCACCTGTTTAGGGTTTAGGGTCTGGCGAGGTTTGGCCGATTTAGGGTTTAGGGTCTGGCGAGGTTTGGCCGATGTTATGTGTTCTTGCGGGTTGGCGGGGGTTAAGAGTTGATGTACGCAAAAGGTTGCATGTACTGAGTATATATATATATATTTATACGTATATTTGCCCACATAGGGGGGGCCCATGCTTTTAGCCTTAAAAGTTGATTTTTGGGCTTGTATGGGTGGTGGCTTGAGGGTACTAGTTGGCAAAGTTTACGGATCCGGGCTTGGGGTCTCGAGGCAACCCTAAACCCTAAACCCTAAACCAAGGGGTTGATGGTTTGGGATGCACGATATCTGCCCCTGAGCGAGACGACTGTTCGCACTGCCAGCACCGTGCAACAGGTTGCCCCTGTATGTTGTAGACATCTTCCTAGGTGAAACACAGTCTCTGCCATGGAGGGGCTCTTTTGCCTAAACCCCCCTCAAAAAAACAAACAATAAACCCAATAAATGCAATACACCCAATACACCCAATAAGCCAAACAAACCCAATGAAACCAATAAGCCCCTAAACCCTACAAACGCCTAGATAAACCCTAAGCCCTAAACCCCTATCCCCTAAAACCAATAAACCCAAAAAAAACCGAGAAAAAAAAAAAAAAAAACAATAAACAAATAAACATAAACCCCAATAAAACCCCAAAAACCTACAACAACCCAAGAAAAACCCAACAAAAACCAATAAAACCCAACAAAAACCCAACAGAAAACCCAATAACAACCCAATAAAAACCCAACAAAAACCCAATAAAAAGCCCGCATCCCCCTCGTTGCCTTCAGCTGCTGCTGGCTGCAGAGGCTTTCAGCTTCTTTGAGTTGCTCCATGAGAACCTGCCCATGGGTTTGGGGTTTAGGGTTTAGGGTTTAGAGGGTGTTATGGGGCTTTTAAAGGGGGGTTTATGTGAGAACCTGCCCATGGGTTTGGGGCTTAGGGTTTAGAGGGTGTTATAGGGTTTTTAAAGGGTGTTATAGGGTTTATAGGTTTTATAGGGTATTCTAGGGTATTATAGGGTTATTGGGTATTGTAGGGTTTTTAAAGGGTTTATCGTTGGCTGCGGAACGTTCATCAGAAAAGCCTCCGAGAGTGCCGATAGGCTTCCCAGATTATGTGCCCGGATTGCCAGCGCATGGCTTGATGTCCGCTTATTCAGGGGAGGTGTGAAAGGTGTAACAAGTCCTGGCATGGAGCCGCGAAATCAGCCTTCTGAACATAGGAAGGATGCAGAAACTACGCTCGTTAGCCAACACCGTGCCTCGCGCTCCACTTCGGAAATCAAGTCCTGAAGGTCTTCTCGCTTGGCTGCCTGGCAGAGAGCTCCGAAGATTACACATTTATGGCTATACCTTTATATATACATACACATATGTATATGTATATATATATATATGTATATTATGTTAATCCTTTCTGCTTCTTGCCCCACCCCCACTCGCACTTTCAGGTTCCTGGCATGTTCCCCCCAGGGAGTGTTCACGCAATCCTGGGGTCCGCCTCTTCGGGCATCACGGCACGGAGACGCAGAAGCATCCGAATCGACTTCACCTCAGCTCCGGATTCCGCGGGGTTTAGGGTTTAGGGTTTAGGGTTTAGGGTTTAGGGTTTAGGGTTTAGGGTTTAGGGTTTAGGGTTTAGGGTTCCCCGGCAACCCATAGGATGGAAAAGGATGCCTTTGGGTCAGTTTTAATGGTCACAGCAAGCGCATAAGGTTCTCCTAACCCTCAATATATAAGGCGACTCGTGGCCAGTAACTGTAAGGGTACCCTTTTTGGAGTTCCTATTTCCTATAATGAGGATTATACTATTTTGGGGGGGTCTTTGAAGGGTACCCCTATTTTGGGAAGTGCACTGTGAGGGAAGAGAGGTGGTGCACGTGCCGTCTGTGGGCTGGCTGACGGCACCCAGTTGCTTGGCCTAAACCCTAAACCCTAAACCCTAAACCCTAAACCCTAAACCCTAAAACGGGGGGAGTTAGGTCTGAGGCCTACAACCCTACCAGGATGGACAATGAGACCCTAGATGGACAATGAGGCAATAGAATCTCCATAATCAACCCTATGAAGGGCCTTTTTGAGGGTTATGGGGTATAATAGCCCGTCCTGGTACGAAAGGACTCAGGCCTCAAGTAGGTCATGTGGGAAGTTAAACCCTAAACCCTAAACCCTAAACAGCT